AGCATCTAATCCTTTTTCTAAAAAATTAGAAGTTGAAAAAAAAAAAAATCTTTAACCTCAATAAAGGCTTGGATGTCCTTGAACTTCAAAGAGACCTATGGGCTTACCGCATTTTAAGTATGGGCTACTTGGAAGATTAAATGGTTTACACTTAATTTTAATTTTAATTCTTTTTTTGAAAAAAGGCTTAATGTGAAGACCTGAAAATAGATTGGACCAACATAATATGTATGAAAGGCTTTAAAATAGTGAATCCAAGTAAGATCCAATCTTAAAATATTACAACTAACCAAAATTATTAAGCTTCTGATCCAAACCTAAACTCTCCCACGTAGGCATGTCATTACAGGAGATATCAATGCTCAGTTAATTTTTTTTTCTGGTTTTAATTTATATATTTGAGATAACATTCTATTAGTTTCGAATTCAGACACCCCTATATTATGAAACAAAGGTTTATTATCTTGTACTAAATTTAATTTGTTCTTAAGGTATTGTCATTTACTTAAAAAAAAGTTGGACCAACGTTTGAGGTAAACAAAAGTCTGAATAGAAACCAAATTATGATTTTAAAAGTAATTTTATAGTATACGAAGTATATAAGAGGAGTTTTATCTTGATTTATATGAAAGTACTTTTAAAAAGCATTTTTGGGAGGAAACCAAACACTTTAGGTTTTTTTTAAAATAAAAATAACACATATATATTTGCTTTTAATAAAGCCTTACTTGCTAAAACTGCATGGAGAATATTACAGAAAGCTCTGGTGCAAGATCTTAAAAGCCATATATTTTCCAAGAAACAGCTTTATAGAAGCTAAGAAAGGAGGGAAAGCAACCTGGTGTTGGATAAGTATACTTGAAGGTAGAGAATTACTCTCATCAAAATGAGGAAGAAGGAAAGTTGAGTAATATTCTTACCAAAATGAGCAAAGGGAAAAAAAAGAAAAGGAAGCAAAAGGTTGATATGTTAATCAGTGAAGGAAGGTGGAATTTAAATCCCATATCCAGTAAAATCACAGTAGAGAGAGAGAGAGAGAGAGAGAGATGATTTTGCAGATTAGCATCCCTTGTACTGAAAAGAAAGATGAAGCAGTGTGGATGGTTGCATTGCAAAGATGGAAAAGTACTTTGTTCGATTCGTGGAAATGAGGTAGAGACGATTATTGAGCATATGATTCTATTATGTCCTGGTGTTTGTGGATGTTCTTTGGGAAGTCCATTAACTTTACAAATTAATAGAGATCAAGTTACCCATGTCACTACATTACAGGAGTGTTTGGATAATAACAAAATCATGATTTTAGAAGTGTTTTTACAGTATATAAAGTAAATATGTAAATGAGTTTATATCAATTTACAGAAAAGTGCTTCTAAAAAGTGATCATGAGGTTATTTAAACACCCCGTACATAGTCTTTTTTAATAATTGACAACTTACTCATTCAATGGCTTTGGTACTGAACGTTCTGAAAATGAGTACTGTATTCTCAGGACAGTTGAATTCAATAATACACGCCTGTTGCTAACAGCCTTTCTTCTCTTTTAGGGCCTATCTAAAAAGAAAGAAAGAATTCGATACTTCTTGATCGTGGGAGGGTATTTTCCTGAACAATAAGGGGATTAGTGAAGAGAGTAAGGCACTTGTTGCGTCTATCTGTTGGGAAATTTGGAAGGAGAGGTGCGATGGGGTATTTAATAATGTATCAGTGGATTCTATGAAGGTTGTTTCTGTAGCTACCATGTTGGTACAGGAAATATGGAGAGCTAGAAGAAAACAAAAAGGATTAGTAGAAGTCTATCTCGGATAGCACACGATATAGGAGCTGTGAAAATAAATGCTGATGGGCAGGCTGTGCTGGAATAGGAGCTGTATGTAGAGATGAGCATGGAGTTTTCTTGGGTGGTGTGAAGAGGAAAGCCAAAGCTTTCACTACTTTTCAAGCTGAATGTTTTGCGGTGAAAAAAAAAAGAAAAATTACAATGAGGTCCTAAGCAAGAAAAATAATTGAAAAATAAGTCTCACAGGTTGTTATTCTCACTGTAGAACTTGTTATTACAGACTGTTCAGGTTATTATTGGGACCTTTTAGTGATTATTTCTCTTCTGTGGGATTTGAATGTAATTCTTCCAAAAAAGAAGGGAGAATTATAATGAAGTCCCAAGTAAGAAAAACAATTAAAAAACAAGTCCCAGATGTTGTTATTCTCACTATAGAACTTGTTATTACAGATTGTTCAGGTTATTATTGAGATTTTTTAGTGATTATTTATCTTCTGTGGGACTTGAATGTAATTCTTCCAAAAAAAAAAAGGCATGCTATTATGTAATACTATTTATATCTCTATTCCTTAATATAAAATTTAGTTGATTAATTAAAAAAGATTAAAAAATTTATTAAATTATTTTAAAATATTTAGAGTCAATATAATTTTTTGGTCCTTAAATTTATTTTTATTTTAGTTTTAATCTATCAAATTTTAAATTAGAAGTTTTGGTCTCTCAATTTTCTTTCTATTTGAAATATTGATCCCTAAAATCAAATAAAGACATGAACCATTTTATCTTTTGAGCGTCAAAAACTTATGGTTTGAAATTCAAGGAATTAAAACCAAATTCGTACAAAATTTGAGGGATCAAATATCATATTAACCCAAGTATTTATATTTACTATTTTTCTTCAAATTAATTGGTCTTACTTATAAAGTAAAATATAATTTAATGATACATATATGTATTTTAGACTAGGGGTGTTCAATTTGTCTCGTCCCAGTTATCCGGTCCTGGTCCCAGCGAGTTCGGGACAGGACGGGACAAAAAAAAATTTTAGATGGGACAAGTACGAGACGGGAGGGGACGGGAACAGTGAACGGGACGGGACGGGACACGTGACGGGGTTGTCCTGTTCCGTCCCATCCCAGGGTTTTTTTTAAAATTATTTATTAATAATAATTATTAGATTATTTAATTTGCTGATTATATAATAATAATTTTTTTATAGTGATTTTTAGTTCTTAAATTGTAGTATTATCTTAACAAAATCTCATTCCTTAATAAAATAATTCATAAAGACATTATATAGTGTCTTTTTTCCTATATTTTTTTTACAATATTATTTTTACATCTTTTTTATACTCCATAATTGAGCTTTCTACATAATATTTTTATGATGTTTTTATCTTTAGAAGCCTAATGAAAAATAAGCATTATAAAAAAAAATTCATATAAAAAATTATAGTATTTTTTTTAAAAAAAAGGGGGAAGCGGGAAGTCCTTATCCCATCCCGGTCCTGACAGGACCAGGATAGAACCAGGACGGGATGGGACATGGGACAAAATCCATGTCCTGTCCCTATTCACCCCATGAACACTCCTATTTTAGACAAACCATATAATATGTGCCATAATTAAGTAATTTGGTAATTTTTTTAATCTCTTCAAATTAATTAATTAGGTATTATATTTAGGACATGAGAAAGTAATTTGTTGGGAAAAAAAACTTGTATTGAGGTTGATTGTGAGGGGTTGCTCAGAGTAATTCTTGCCAGACCAGTGGAAGAGGTTGAATGACAAAGGGAAGACTTGGCAGATTTAGTGCTTGTTTGGTTGAGCTTTTCGGGGTGAAAAGTAGCTTAAATTGGATAGAAGCCTTATTGGAAATTTAGATGCTGTTTGGATTGGCGATTGGGCAATTTAGCTTTTGTATGAAAAGCTACAATAAGCTATAAGCTAAAATTAAACTTATAGCTTATGACTTTAAGCTTTTGAAACATGGAGAGAGAAGAAGTTAAGAAATTTTTTACCTCATTTGGTTCTTATTATAAACCTCAAATAACTAATTTGTAGATAACAAAAAATCAGTTAAAATTAGTTGAAAGTAATAAATAAGTTAGAAATATATTTTGGTTTTAAATATGCTCCTAGAAATATACTTTTATTTTTTTATGTTTCACTTTATATTTAAAATATTTTTTATGATTTCTCTAGAGTTTTAAAATTTAATTTACTCATTAAATTTGACTTCTTCATATTAAATTATTTTAATTTCAATGTATTATGTGAAATTATTTTTTTAATCATGTTTTATTATTTATTAAAACTCATACCCGTTTTGGGCATTTTACAATCAAATTTACTTTTACTCAACCATAATTCAAACAACCCTTTATTAATCTCAATGTTGTAAACTAACTTTTTCTAAACTCTAACCAAAATACAATTCAGCTTATCCAATTTAGTTTTTACCAACCTCATTTTTTTATAAGCTAAATTGATAATAAGTTACTTTTTTCAATTGTTGATCCAAAGGACTCTCAAACTTGTTTGTTAATCAGTTGATCCTTCTTGTTTTGTTTCCTTTGTTTTGGTGTTTCCATTTTTTGCTTTAGGACTGTCATTGTGTCTTAGTTGGATTAATCTTTGATCTCTCAAATTTATCCTAATTTTGATTTTGGTTCTTTTTATTTAAAACATTAATTCCTGTAATTAAATAAAAACTTAGACTATTTTATTATTTGAAGAACCAAAACCTATAATTGTTGTTTAGAGTGTTTTGAGAGTTTGTGTTTAGTCTTAGTTATTACTGCGTGTATTCTTGCTTTGCATTATTGGGCCTCTAAGTTTTGAGAGATTAGTCTTTCATTACTCGAATGAGCCAATACTATGATATTTCACCCAAAAAAATAAATTCCTTTTTTCGGCGGAAAAAAAATCAAAACAAGCTTATTTCTGAAAACAACTATACTATCCATTAATCTGCGTCCAACTTTTTCTTGAAAAAAATAAGATCCTGGCATTAGTGAATTCCAAATAAAGGAATTAAGTTTCTTTCATTCAACGATTATCTACTTAGTGTGTGTGTTATCAAAGTGATATAATCCAGAAGGAAAGGATTTTGCCAAGATCGACAAGTATTTTGCCTCATAACTTCATGCCAAAATATATATGCCACAAAATTAATTTATAGAGCAACTTATAGTTATCTCGTGCGAGCAACTTATAGTTATCTCGTGCGCACGGAGGCCCCAACGGGTCCGGCCTCTGAAACGATGTCGTAGAAGCCCACCGATCTGCAATTGGCACCGTGAATGGCTTCTCCGGCCGCCGGAACTGGGATTCCCTGGACCCGATTCGTTATTCGACGATACGGAGCCAACCACTTGTTCTGCATGAACTTCGTTTTTCTCCATGGAGGCACGGAGAGTCCTGCGCACTCAAAAGACTGCTCCGCCACGTCACAGACGACCCTAACGGTGCGTCTCAGCTCGTCCGCTCTTCCGACGAAGCTTCTGGGCACAGAGCTCAGAATCTCCTCGTACTTCCTCGTCGGCCGAGCGATCTCGAACTGCGACGTGAATTCAACCTCCACTAAGTACCTAGTCTGCCACGTGGACGATCCCCTTCGCTCCACGTCGATGAACTCGTGGTTCCCGGCGATGACGCCACCGGAGCAGTCCCACTTGGTCTCGCAGATGGCCGCATTATGGCCCTTCTCCTGGAGAAACGCCACCACATTCCGCCGGAAAACCGGAACGTTTCGCCTTAGAGACCAAAACATCTCCACGGCCTCCGAAACGTGCGACAAAAGCTGCTTCCTATAAGGATCGACATTATTTCTAACTTTCCATGAGAATGTGCCCCCCATTATCAGATCATCACATTCAGACACCGAGTCGGCTCGCTCGGAGTCCAAATTGTTCTCCGATGATCGACCCTCCGTTACGTTATCTTGGAGGAAATCATGCACCAGTTCAGACAAGCACAAAGCGTCCTCCTCATGGACGTCGCCGGAGTGCTGGCTTCCGCTGGTAATACAACTCAGAAGCCGGTGATGGGCAGCGACAGGACGATGTTTGAGCATACCCGGCATTAATGGGAGGCAAAAGAAGAGAAATTTTCTGAAGAAATTTCAGGGTTTATGAATTGAAGGGAAAAAGGTTAAGTGGACTATAAGGAAGGAGGAGGAAGAAGAAGGAATAATGAGGAGAATGTTCACAGGAGTCTGCGTGGGAAGTTCAAATGGCTGGTGAAGTGTGAGACTAAGTGGAGAAAATAAGGGAGAAGGATATGCGGATTTTATCTGAATGGTTATGTTATATTCCTGGGGATGCTAGGAATATTCAATGGAACCTGCACTTAGACGCCATGTTTTGAAAATTTAAGGCACATATATAGATATAATACTTTGATCACACTTCAAGAAATATAACATTTGATAATAAATATGGTGATTTTTTTTTTTGTGATTTGAAAAATCTTAGGTCGTAATTTTTTATTCCTTGATTTTTTTTTGACTTGCACATGTATAGCCATATTATGAGAAATTTAACATTTAATAATAGCAGTTTAAATGAATTATAGTAATTATAGAAATTTTCAAACCTCCCTAAACTTGCATATTTATGCAGATAACTCTCTTATTATTATTAGTTTTGTTTATTATTTATCTTCAAATGAATTATATTTTAAAAGGTTTATATGCATAATTTAAAGCTTGAAGCAGTTGTTGATTTTCGAATGTCAAGGAAGTCAGCTGTACATGATTCTAATAAGTTTAAGGACGGTTTATATAATTTAACCTTGAAAAATAGAAAGCTTATTTTTCTCCTTTGATATCAATCATCAGTTTGGTTAAAAGTTTGAGGGTTTCTTATTGAATTTTAAAGGGAAAATGAGTGAAAAGTCTATGTTCAAAAATGTTATTAGTCAAAAGGGTCTTCTATATTTTTATACACAGAAAGTATCGGTACTTTACACAACTTCATACACAAAAAGTAATAGAACTCAAATTTAGGTCGTTGAAGCCAATAAAATTGCCAAATAAGAGCTTTTCACCATTTTTTTCAATATTGAAAATTAAGGAGGTTATATAATTTAGCCTTAAAAAGTTAAAAGCTTATGTTTCTCCTATGACATCAATCATCAATTTGGATAAGTAAATGGGGCAAGCAGGAAGATGAAAGCCAAGTGAGGTAAAAGGAGAAACTACTGGGTTTTTGGGGAAGTGATTTTTATGTTTTTTATATTTAAGGAGAACACTAACTATTTATGAATGAATGAAGAGAGACTTCCAATCTATGTTTTGCTTTAATTTTTTTTTAAATTTGTAAATGCTGACTAATTAAACACTTGAAGAGAATAGTTGTTAGGTGTATGGATTTAATCATTATTGATGAATCGAGGCTACTCAGCAATCACCTACAAACCTCCAAAAAAGGAGCTATGAAGAACCAAGAAGATCTGGCAAAGGCAGATTATGATATGGTAGCAAGGAGCATCAAAGCTTCTTTATATGTGGAAAGATGTGGGTTTGATCCACTCATAATTTTAAACCATTAGCATTTATCTTTGCAATTTAAAAATAATTTAAACCCTTCTAATATAATTATATATAGGGCCACTAATGTGTGAGAATGATACGAAATCCCCTTGAATGGGAAGAAAATAACTGGATATCAACATGGCAGATAGTGCTGGTCCAGGTGAAACTAGTGATAAGATCTATTTTCGTTGATCACAAGATCTATTTTCGTTAATCACATATATAGGCAAAAATAACTACTTTACAATGTTCAAGAAATTTAATTACCTTTTAATTATGCTTGAAATTACTTCTTTCCTTAAAATGCTACTGTTTTGTTTGTTCAATGATCATTTATTACTACTATTTCAACTACTCCCATTGAAGACAATTGATTTAAACTAAGAGGTAAAATTGAAAATCTGCATTGCTTGTAGCAATTTTTGCTTACATTTAGGTAATTTTTGCTTATATACGAGACTGGAAGAAATAATGCTTAAAACAAGAGAATGCATTTGACAAAAGAAAAGCAAAACATTTAGGACCACGTTAACAATTAACATTGATTAAAGGATTTGATGATTAATCCTCAATTTTTTTAAAAAAGAAAAATCTTGCATAGTCAATTCCCTTTAAAAACTATAGTATCCAAAATCTTGAATAAACACGCGCACCAAGTAGAGGTAAGATTTTCATCAATTGAAAGCTAGAAGCCACCTAGAGCAGTTGGGTATGATAAAAAAAACTAGTTCCTCACAACATGACAAACTAAGGTTTAAATCCTTACTGGAAAAAAATACCTCTAATAGGGCTACTTCCAATAAAAAGATACATGTGCTTGGCCAAAAAGAAAAAAAACAAAGAGAGCTAGAAGCCGAGCATTCGCCTTTAATATTTTGAAACTTGTGCTCCGTCAACGTCTTATAATCTATGCTTTGATAGAGAAACAGACGTCAAGCACATGAAAGCCATATAGTCAATCAAGGATTCAAATACTGCTGCATGTATGGATCACCAGACTTAATGTAGCCATTGAAAATAAAATGGACTTTGTAATGAATGGGGAAGTAAGCAATCAAGTTTTGTGAGAACCATGGCTGGTTGGGGCGAGGAAGACTATTCAAGATCACACATTGGTCCAACGACTCATCAAAAATCATTTTGAGAAGAGAAAGCCAAATCATTGCTTTCTCCCTCTTCCTTTCTTAGTGGGTTGGGCATCCATTTGATCTTTCCCAGTCACTTCTGATATATCCACTGCATGAATTTAGAACATCTGTTGTAAGTATTTAAGTAACATAGAAGAAAATCTGAATTGTAAACAAATTGATCATCAGAACAATAGGGTTTTATCATGCTACCTAGCAGGACTTGTCTGCAGTTTCAAATAATTTTGCTTAGAAAAGAAAAATGTGCCTTGAACAGTCTCACTATTATATATTCAGGAAAATGAGTTATGGCTGATTGAAAATTAAAATGCAACGAAGTTAAAATGTTCAATGTAGGACATACCATCAGGACCACGGGCCATCAAAGCAAAGAATATATTATTAAGTTTTTCCATCTTCTTTGCTTCTTGCGCCTGATCTGTCTTAAACTTCAGACACTGATAAAAAGAACAATAATGCACATTTAGGACATGCTTAGGCAGACTAGAAAAGCTAGTAGAGAACCTAATCCACAAGTCATCTACAAGGACAATGATGATTATATAGCCGCATCATAGTTCATCAAGTAAGGTAAGCAACAAAGGTGATATTCTGCTTTCAAATGGCCACAGTAAAAGAAGCCATACAAATTTCATGAATTCTAGGAGTCAGATCTTGACAAGATTTTCCCAGCAAAACTCAATGAGTTGAGATCGTCCTGTCTAACATGTGCAGAGCAAGACCCCTTGTCGAAATGATCCTATTGCAAAAGAGTGTTCTTTGCTACCTCAACAGTGGAACAAGCCAGCATAAATAATACTACCTCTGATTGAACTACAAACTAGATCTTATATTAAGGACCAAAGATAGTAAGACAACTACCACTGTTCATCCCTCAGCAATTCCTTTCCTCCTTTATATGCAGATATATTCTTTGAGCTACAATTCCCAGGTATCATTATTTTATCTGGCTGACATTAAACTATTACTAAAAGGAAGGTTCTCTTTTGATGTCTCTCAATTGGATCGTGCTAAGCAAATGCACCAACTGAAAATTTGCAACACGTAGGCATCTATAGCCACATCACAATGTATGTAATTTTATTGGTCTTAAAAAAGCATTTAATTTAAATCATAGTCTGTCTGATTTGATGATTTTATGAATCTATTTGACCCATAATTCTATGCATAGACAGAATTTTCAATTTTCTCAAGCCGTACGAGGAGAAAACCTATGACAAACAGAGCAATTGTGAAAGCTTTAATCAATAGTGAATTCCCAGATGCCAATTCTTTTCACTTATTCCAAATAAGCATACCGTGTCAGTGTGTGTTCAGTTTAAATGCATTGCCAAATAAGGCCTTCAATCAGCACCACCAATACCATAAACCAAAAGCACTTCCAAATCAGATGATCAAGTTATCAAAATTAGTTGATGCCAAAAACCAGAATAATAAATTCAAAATATCTTCATTCCTTTTTCCCCCTTTGTCGAGGCCAAGGAAAATATATTCATTTATCAAATACCAAGTAACATTGAAGCAGTTTGTCTATTGTCTTACATAGTAATAAAGTTGACAAATTTTTTTGGAAAAAAAATTTACTAAAAGACACAAATGATACAGAAGATAAGGAGCAACTAACATGACGTCTTCATTCCATTGCCGTCAGTTGCAAACACCATTGTATGGTCAAATTAAAGTAGAAAAGTTGCAGTTAACTAACAACTCATCCATCAATATTTTGGTCAGCAAAACTATACTATAGAAGAGATCGTCATAAATTTTATGTACATCAATACTCAATTAGTTTTAAATCAAAAACCATCAACATTCAGCAAGATATCTATATGATAGGAGAAATCATCATAATTCTAGAAGCATATATACTTGACTATTAATCTCAGACTAGCATATCCAGAATTGAGTGCGTAACAGGGCAACAACATTGAATAGAACATAATTTTAAGGGGGAAAAAAGAGACAAAGGAAATACTACCTGTTGGTTATCAGTAACTTTAAGTACCAACTTGCCATCACAATGCCTGTACTTCATGACATACCGTGTCTACACACAAAAAATTTATTACAACAAATAAGACAAGATGAGCAACTTGCAGAATAGAAGCCTCAATACTCAAGACTTATGCATGCATGGATGGGGTACATAGATATTAATTTCTTGCAAACTAATCAAGTAAAGGAAACTAAGGTTAACATATAAAACTGTCTCACGCACAGATTGTAAAGAACATAAAAGTCTCAACCTCTACATTTTCTACTACTTTTATGATATCAAAATGAAAGAAAGAGGACATTACAGATTCAGGATCTGCACGGAACAACTGAATGGATCGCTCAACAAACTCGTCCCATGCACTAATATAAACCATTGTCCCCGACAGTGAAGGAGTGATCTTGATTCAAGGATTTCAATAACCTTTTGAAGGTTTGAAGCTCTAGTCAGTTGAGTTCGCCTGTGAGTCATAAGAGAACAAATGAAATTAGCGACTCATCAGCCGAATTTTATGTTATTAAACAAAAATTAATAGTATTAGGCATCGTTCTTATCAGAAGTTAGTCATCGCTACTAAATATTAAAGTTCGTTCCAATCGATTCAAGGATTTCAATAACCTTTTGAAGGTTTGAAGCTCTAGTCAGTTGAGTTCACCTGTGAGTCATAAGAAAACAAATGAAATTAGCCCCTCATCAACTGAATTTTATGTTATTAAACAAAAATTAATAGTATTAGGCATTGTTATTATCAGAAGGTAGTCATCACCACTAAATATTAAAGTTGGTTCCAACGGATTCCATTATCTTTGCTACCCGTCTACTCATCTCCAAAACTCGTTTTGGGAAAATAAGTAAGCAGAATGTTGCAAGCAGTAAGCCTCATCCGTGGAACTTCATTGTCCAAGACTCAGCATTATCAGGCATTATTACTTTGCTCTTTTTTCCAATATAAGGGGGACCGTGCATATGGTTTGAGTTTGCTAATCACAATTGTATTACTATCCATAAGCCTCGTAAGATAGGGTGGTTTACTTGACATCTCAAGTTTCAGCCCAAGCATTCTTCAGGGATCTAACCAATTCCAGTGGGACTAGAGTGCTGCTCTGAGTTAGGATCTTTAACCTTTTATTTTGTTTAACTTCCTCTTCGTAATTCTGTTGTTTTAAAATGATTCCTTGATGTCATTCTCTCTTATTACTTCCTTCTTTTAACAAAATTTCACTTGCAATTAACAAATTTGGTTACGGATGCACCAATCAAAAAATTAAAATAAATTACTATCAAAATTTATATTTATTGTTATTGAAAAGCAAACGCGGAGCAAATTCACCTGTCGCCAGATGGTACTAAGCAAAGATATAGTGATTCACAGTCTGCTATTAGTATTGAAGCAGCACTCACCTAGTCGAATGGCGTATAAATGTCATGTAGCAACAAGAAAAATATTTCCATGACCACATACTCAGTGTACATGATTAATCATAACGATAATAGCATTCATTTAGCAGCCATTTTCGTCTCTTACTTAAAATTTGCTTGCTTACGGTCTCCATAACCTCAAAATTATTGAGTGACAAACTCATATTTACCACTTAGAACGAATAATACTAAGTGCTTAAGCTGAGGTCGTAGCCCACAGAATCTGACGCCTCCAACACCGGCGAATTTTTCACTAGTCCAACCCTATATACCTAAGTTATTTGTTATGCTTTGTTTATTCATGCCAACTTGGGTAGGGGGTATAGCAAAGGCGGAAAAGGCTTGGATTCCATGGTTTGAATCGCCGGAAGGGGAAAGGGACATTTTAGAGGAAGGCGAGAGCACCAGGGGAATCCATCGATATAGAGAAGGAATGGGGCTGTGCACTGTGGAATCAAAGTAGAAAAGCCGTAATTGGCCCCGCTTTCTGGTGTAATCGACAACAATCTACTTTCAATTCTCTTATTCATCTGGCTTAAAAAAATTTCTACGGCCACATGACCCAAGTCAAGAGCAAGCCCATTCGATTTCCAAAATCTCCCTAAATTTGATGCCATCATAAGAGCAAGAATTTTGCTCCATGGCCTAAACAGTAATCGTGATCAGAGTGAAATGGGTGTACCTTTCTCCTTGATCCAATATTCCCCTTCTCTTCTTCTGCTTCAAACCTCCCTCCGTCGCTTTCTTCGTTCCTCTCTCCCTCTCTCTCTGTCTCCTGTGTCGCTAGATTATCGTCGCTACTCGCAAGATTACCCCGCTTTCTTCTTGCCCTGTCTCTCCCAGTCCGTCTGCGATGTGGGTTGGGAACGTTGTTTTTTTCTTTCCTCCAATGCTATTTTATGCTTTTTAAGATAATTATATTATAATAATTATAATTATAATTATAATTAAATTCATTAATTATAAGATAATTATGCTTTAAAATATTTTTCCAGGTACTTTACATTTTTGCCTTTAAAAAATTAATTTTTTAAGAGTAAAGTATTATTTTCAAGAGCAATTTTAATTTTAATTTTATTATTAACACCTCAATAAGTCTGTTTCAAGTACTTTAAAAAATTTTCTTACGGGATATACTATAAAATATTTTAGAAGGCAGAATACGTTAAAAAAAATACTTGACTGTCTAAATGCTCTTGAAACATTTTTGAGGGTTCTAGATGAATATACCCATTAAATATCTTGTAAGGAAAATATTTAATAAAATATAGAAAAGTAATGTCCTTAAAAATGTTAAGTGACATATCAAAAACAATAAATTTCAAAATACCAAATTAAATCATTGTATATTTTGATATTTTGAAATGCTGTGAAATGATACCACTCCCTTCACTTTTCTTTTTTATTTGTTTAGAATGTCGTCCAAGTGCCTGTCGCCGGAAAACCACCTATCAATCACCAAAGCTCTTGCGGTAAGCTAGTAATTAATCTTGTTTAATTACTACCCATTTTTGTTTAAATATTGGCTGCTTTTTTTAGAACTCTGGCAACTATTTTTGTTTAGCTATTTATTATTTTAATTTTTTTATTGATTATTTTTATTTTTAAAAATTTGGTGACTATTTTTATTTAGTTATTAATTAATTCAATTATTCATTACTTTTTACGCCACTAAATATTTTCGACACACTTTTTTATTCCATCCAACATTTCATTTTCCCCCTGTGCTACGTAGCATTATTCAGGACTTCTATTGCTTCTTTTTTTTTTTTTAAGGCTAAAAGCCATTATTTAGGACCTGAAAACAAGAAAATTTGATAAAGATAATAGGGCTAAATTTCATCAATACATGATTGTATTTAAATTGATATATTTCAACTTTGCCCAAGATAAATGATTTTTGTCAGTTATTAACTATTTTTTATTGCTTCTTATCAGATCATGATGATTTTATCAATTGTTTTGATGGTATTAAGAATAATAGGCATAGAATTTGTACACCATCAGTATCGATTAATCTAAGTATCAAGATACTAACAGAATTAAGTCCAAGGGAAAGAACTAATTCATCACAACATGAAGGACCAAACTTGCTGCCCATATTTAATGCCCAACCATATCTCAAATAGGATTGTTTTTAATAAAAAAAAAGATACTTATACTTAGGGGAAAAAAAATCTAAATATCAAAATGAACATAAATGTTGTCGAAACTCAAAATTGATGATCATAATTTAAGCCTAACAATTTTAGAGGGAGGAAAACGATTTCTACCCTCTATAGGAAAACTGTTGAAAAAAATTCCTCGTTAAAAATGTTATCAGTGAGAGAGACTTAAATCAAAAATCCGGCATTTTATATGTACAAAATTTGTTTGACACTAATACTTTGTACTACATCCGGTCTTTAACATAAGATCTTGTTTAACTTTTTATTTTGATCATAAATATAAGACCACAATCTACTTTGTCCCTCATATTTATTTATTTATTTTTCTAAATAGTTATTTTAATGATGGTAGTTCTAACTAATAAACTTAATTAGCAAGGATATAGAAAAACAACATTTATTTATTACAAATACTTATTTATTATAAATAACTAACTTAACTTATTTCCTTAATATACTCAAATTAGTCAACTAGCTCTTATATTTAGGATGAGGTAGTACATAAAAATTTATGGGGCTCTTCTCATCAATAAAGCAATACAATTTTTAATGAAAGATTTCTGCTTAGATAAGAAAATAACTCTCATTGAAAATTGAAAATAAATTATCATGCCCCTACTTGAAAAATATTCAAATTGAATAATTGAATAACTTTTTTTTGGCCAACGAATAACCAATTTAACTGAATGAAAATGCAATTATAAAATATTTTATATCTTAGAGGCAAATCTACTAATCCTGTGATTACACTTTACTTGATAAGATGGAATTTCCCTTGAATTTCACACCCTAATTCAGACAGGAAAGATATCAATTCAATGACAATAAGTAAACATCCTCACAATCATAACCTTACACCCGTCGTAAGCTCAATAGGAGAGGTAAAGATAATTACTCAGTGTGTGAAAAAGGAAAACTGCAGCAACAAATTCTAAAGGCAAACTGCAGCAGATCGTGGATTGGGAACTAAGGCAACAAGTCTAACTTTATTGCTAAAAGCTAATTTAGGTGCCAGTAAACCTGCAATTTCATCAATGCTGGTCCTTTGGAATGTCCAGGTCTTTGAATATTGGGCTGTCAACTCCCACCCCCATTGCGTTCAGTCCATTGTCGACATATACAACGGCGCCGGTAATGGCAGATGCCAGAGGCGATGACAGGAACGCGGCTGCGTTGCCCACCTCCTCTGTTACATACATTCAGTTTAGAACTCGTTAATGGCGGAGAGGTAAAATGGGAAAGGTACGTTACAAGAGGGAAGAATCTTGGGGGGAAATGTTACCAGCTGTAAGTTCTTTCTGCAAAGGAGCATTGGCTAATGAATAATCGATCATCATGTCAATGAATCCAATTGCTTTTGCTGCACGGCTTCTCAGAGGACCTAAGGGGGAAAACCACCGTTAAGTTAACATGTTTTTCTACTGATACTTATTCAATGATATGTTCAACTAACTGGCTGCAGAATGTTGACTTCAATATCGTATCTAGAGTTCTAGACCCCAGAGATTAATGGAATATGCGTATTTGGGATACGTATGTTCTGGGAGCCTAAGGTATTCGTGCTAATGATATGGTCATTGTCAAAGACGATTTAACCTCAACAGCTTATACCATTAAAAGAAGGTCATTAATAATTTTCAATATATCCTCACATGAAAACTCTACGCTTGATGTGTAGCTCAAAACAAGATCCTGTCACATGTAAAGGATAAAATCCTTTATCACGCTCTTTTTTTCTGTCCCAAATTTCGACTAGATTTAAAACAGTAAGATACCATACCTAACTCCCAGTGGCGTCAGAATAACAAGTTCAAGAGTATGTTTAAAATCTTGGGCTGGTCAAACCCTTAAAGGGAGAAAAGTAAAGCAAGCCCAAAAAAGTTATGAAACAGGAAAAAATCATTACCGGCAGATATTGTGTTGACTCTAATTCTTTTCTTCCTACCAGCTTCAAAAGCAAGCACCTGAGTGAGTATATGGAAAATTAGTGCAAACATTCTAAGGGAAGGGCCTATGGATGAGCAAGATTGACGAAAGAGAGTACTAAGAAAGTAGCATATTTATGAGAGTCATGCATTACGGGAGTAGCGTTTAGAGAAGAAACATTGAAAACTTACTTTTGTATCACTTTCCAAAGCAGCTTTTGCAGAACTCATACCGCCACCATACCTGCATTTTGGTGGGTTCAAAAAGATGTCAATCTAGACATGTTATTTTAAGACAAAAGGTATGAAAGTCTTCAAGGCATAATCGGACAAACCCGGGGATGATCCTCTCTGAAGCAATGTATGTGAGAGAAATTGAAGAACCACCTATAATCAAATCAGGAAGGTGAGGAAAAGAATAAAACAATGAAGGAAACAATATAAAGGCAGAATCTTAATAAGCATGCCTGGGTTAATAATTGGAAGAAAATGCTTGAGTAAAGAAACATATGAGTAACTAGATGCAGATAACGCAGCAAGATATCCATTCCGAGATGTCTCTAGCAATGGTTTGGTGACCTACAGCAAAGTTGACTTCTTGTTAGCCAATGAGGAAGGGAAGAGAGAAAATTTACAGTTGAATTCACCATACCTCTGGTCCATTGGCAAGTGAGTGTACAAGGATGTCAATGGTTCCAAAGTCATTCTTAACAGATTCAACTACTTCCTGCAAGTTCAAGCAATTCCTTTTTCAGAGAGATTATGAGGTGTAATTCTGAAGATAAACCCAACATCAACATGTTCACATATAACCTCAGGCAGCTCCTCAGGTCTCTACTAAAGTAAAGACCAGATTGTTCCATTAACTTGTAATTTAGCAGAGAAAGGGCCACAGTTGGGTTTTCCACTCCAAACTTACACCTTGCTTTAGTTTTGTCACAAAAGCACTGATGTTTTAGTTAGTCCTTACACTTTAATTTGAAACAATGCCGTCCATGAGGAGTAACAATATTATTGTTGATAAGTAAGAGAATTTCATGTCATGCAGAGTGATAAGTGAATAATTTTAAAACTTCTGAAAGTATCAAAATGGACTGTTAAAAGAGTGTGCATTAGATGTTACTAACGTAAAACTACAAGCACTTTTTTCATTATGGTTGTGAAAACTAGTTTTCCCAACAAGTTTTTAAGATGAATCGCTTCTTAAATTCTACCATACCTCAAAATAGCCATAAATGATTACTGCTTTAAGGTTATTGTAAACTTATATTAAAAGCAGCATAGTTATATCTTGTGAGTTCTTCTCTTAATCCCTTTACAAAAAGCACAAGGGAATCATATTTTAGCATTTGTGGCATTGAATAAATACTATCTAGCTGAAAATAATCACATCTAAATAAGATTGACAAGACTCCTAATACATTCAAAGCTTTGGACGAGACTAAAACACAAATTACTCCTGAGACAAATTTAAATAATTTAAAGGAGTTCTTCAAGTGTAAAAGATTTAGGTATAAATAATAAATTTATACCTGGACAGTCCAATTAGTGGATCCAGCATAGCGCTTGTTTGCTTTAACCTATATGAAATGAAGTTATGAGTGATATATATTCATGTCTATGAATGCATTTTTTAGTCTTTTGGAAAGGAAATTCTCATGCATTTCTCCCTTACATCTTCTGGCACATCCTCAGGACTGTCAAAAACTGCATCCATGGGATAAACTTTAGTAATCTCCATCAATGAACCATCTGGTAATCTGAAAATGGACTTTTCTTGTTAGCAAAGTACATACAGAAACATAACCACTCAAATAAATAGCAGCAGGTTGAATTATACTTTCGGGACTCATCAAATTTTCCACGTCGAAGGCTGGACTCAAAAATATTCAGAGCCTACACAGGAAGGTTCATAGTTAGTCCCTGCATCATTTCAGATGGACAAGAACACATGGGGCGCAAACATACAACCCTGAAATTCTGTAGATTTACTTACAGGTACCCAGGTGCCAACAAGAATTTCTGCTCCAGCTGCTGCAAGAGATTTTGCTATTGCCCAACCATATCCATTGTCATCAGCCACACCAGCAATGAAAGCCCTTTTACCTACATAGCATCTTACTTTTAGTGAAAGTACAGATTGTTTCTATTCAGGCATTACTACTAAAAATAAATACCAGTAAGCTTGTGAGCGACTGACAGGAAAAAGTAGATAACAGCCAAAAATATTTAGGGAAAGTGAACGTAACAAGATGAAGACATAATGATAATGAATTATAAGAAAAAGGTGAAAGACATAATCTTGCAATTCACATATTATTCATGAACCTCAGTTGCATAGTCTCCCTTTAGATGGTTAATACATGGTCAAACTAATACAACTTAGAACTGAGTTACTGGGTGGTCAAATAATGTTTTAAACCCTTCACGTGAAATAGTAAATCAATGCTTGTAGAGTATATTCTGGAATGAGTAAACATGTGAAAAGGGGGAAAAGAAGTTATGTTGTCATGGCATGTCTCCTGAAAGTAGTTATGACAATACAAGACTTACGGACAAGATAATTGTAATACGATAGTACCCAATGGCAAGAATTTAGAACAGAGCCGCCAACTCAATAGATAGACATCACGTGTATGAGCAAATGTAGACTAAAACAAAATGGGCACGGAGGATTTTGAGGCAAGAGAAGTATAACCTTTCAAATCTATAGGCAGTCCTGAGACTGGCTTGTTTTCACTAGACTCAGACATTGCCTTTGTTACAATTTTGTCAAACTTTATGGAACGTGATGTGAGGCCCTGCTGGAAAGGTTGCACTGATGCAACATGACAGACACTTGCAAGTCCATCCCATGATCTTGCCTTGGACTTGCCACTGACAACAGCGCTTGCATTTGCAGGCTTTTGTGAAGGAATGCAAGGTCTTGACAATGCAATTTGCAAGTTAGAAACTGATGTTGTCGCCATCTTGATGAATGCAATTTGACAGCAGACAAGTTAGATCTATACAGAAAACTAATATTAGCACCAATACAAAAATACATTAAAAAGTATTCATAGATATCTCAAATCTAAATGGGAAATACGAAATAGGTCCAACTTGATGAAAAGTTGGACATTAAAGACAGCCTAAGTGCTCATCATTTTAAAAATATTCCATTTATTCAATTATAAATAGTCACTATAACTTTAAGTACATTTCGCCTTTCACCTAGAAGCCCATAACTAAAAATATCAAAACAGATCCCCAGTTTATCACTCAGACTTGTAGGTTTATGCTGAATTCAGAAAGTCAGAACTACAGAGGCAATAGAACACAAATAAATTTAATTAATACAATAGCTCATGTCACGACCATGAATTATACATTTGGTTAAGACATTTTTACATTGAAAGAAAAACAATTAAAAAGCATCTGAGACAAGAGAGCGAACGGTAAAAATAATTACCAAGTCCAAAGGTTAAGGTAATATGAAATGATCAGATTATCAAGGAAACAGATTCTCCTCGACGATCAAAAGGTTGGAGAGAAAAGTTTTGAGCAGTGCCGAATTATCTCAACCATCACTCCCCATAAACAGTTTCCTCTAGAGGAAGTTCCTCTAAAGACATCACTCTCAGAATGCCAGCAATCTTACGTTTATAAGCTACTCAAAACAAAAAACAAAAACAAAACTAAACAAAACGAAATAAAACAAAAAAAAGTAACAGAAAAAAAGAATGTAAAAATAATCTCATTTAATCTTGATCTCTAAGTCGTCTAATTTCAAACACGTTCAAATTTTAACTCCATGGTGACGGAGCCACCCAGCCACAGAAGCAACAGAGACCATTCCAGACACAATGCTTCTAATCAAGTGCCAGATCCATTGCAGACAAAATCCTCACTGATTCAACAACACAAAAGAGCAAGAAAGAGAATAGAGAGAGGGAGAGATTGGATTTACCTCTGAGCTACAAAGAAGGCCAATGCAGAGAAAAATACGAGGAGTCCGAAGCAGGAATGGGAAAAAAGCGAGGTTCTGGGGTTTTTGTTTTGTTTATATATAACAGTTGAGAGGTAGGTTCAAGGGAGAGAAGGAAGAGAAAGGCCTTGCCTCTGGCTATATGATTGAGTCGATGAAAACAATGTTGTGTTTTATGAGGCGGCTCAGAGCAGTTGGAGACCCTCCTCGCGAGTATCGACTATCGAACCAGAATTAGTACAACGAGCTGACGGAAATGCACGTGCATTCCACGTGAAAGCTACTTTTTTAAATAAATCGGCCCATTTCAAATGCTGGTATCAATTTTTAAGTTCTCCAATAATGCATAGACATATTTTTTTTATTTTATATAAATTTATAATTAAATACTATTGAATATTAATATTTTAAAAATAGGAATTAAAGAGCTTGATATAATAAATAGAATGAATTTGATATAAGTATTATCCTAATTATTATTATTTTATTTTTACAAATAAATAATTAAAATTTTTGAAAATTGTGGGTAAATCACTCATTGAGAAAATAATTAGTAAATGGTCCCTAAAGACTTTGTGTAAATTAACTTTCCTTATACAATCAATCTTTGCATTATATAACTAAATTTTTTTATGTGTATTTCATCTTCTCTATGTGTAAATTGATCATAATGTTTTGTGCAGATCATTTTTTTGTGCAACTTAACTTTTTTTGTGTGTGTAACTTATCTTCTTTGTGCAATTTATCATTTTAGAAACATTTACTAATTAATTTTCTAATGAGAAATTTATCCCTGATTTTTTAAAAAAAATTTGTAATGAAGGTGAAATTGTAACTCAAGGATAAAAATATTATAAAAGTCGAGTAATTCATATAATTCAATAATAGAATTTCTGGTCAAAAAAATAATAGAATTAAATTTAAAAATTGATAAAAAGAAAAATTGTGACTTTTTAAGAAAATAGTGAGTCTTATGCATTACAAATTTACAATATGTTTAATAATGAAGCTGTGCTCTTTTTTATAAAAATAAAAAACAGGGTTGACACTACTACGACAGAATAATTAGAAATGGAAAATAGAAAAAAAATTCCTAACTAAATCACTGTTGGAAGAACAAATATCATAATTTGAAGAGGATTTGAGCATCAACAAAATGTCTTGTGCAACAGTGAAGGGAGATCCTGCAAAGAAAAAGTGCAGATTGATGAATTTTTTCTTTGTCCAAATGACATGCACTTATTTAACAATGAACTGGTTATATATAGATTACCACAAATTGAATAGTAAAAGTATTGTAGCATGAATTTCAAATTAGGGAAAATTAATCTATAAGTTTCTATAGTTTTATCTTATTTTTAAAGGTTAAGATGTAAATTTCTTTGGAAGTTTTGACTGAGGGGATGTTGGGCACCCAAAAGTACTCTTGGGTATAAATTTTCTTTACAAGTTTAAAATCGTAACAATATTGCTGCATGTTATTAAAAACATTAATAATTAATATTACTATTTTAATTGTTAATATTTTTTTTTAACAGCAGGGAGTAATATTATAATAATTTTAAACCTTTTGGAATAAATTTGCACCCAAAACAATTTTCGAGTGCTTAGCGTTCTTGAGTCAAATCCTCTGCATCAAATTTGCATTTTACCCTATTTTTAATCATGTTATTATAATTTTTTTTATTAAGTTATTATAATTTTATCAAATTTTTAAGGATAAACGGTGCACTCGACACCCTTATGTATTTATCCAAATGTATCTAGTACCCTAAACTTATTTGTGATTTTATTGTACTTTTGAACTTTTTAAAATGGTACAATTTTATTCAAAGTTAACTGATTACAAACATCCGTTAATGAAATGGACATGTAGGCTTGGTGATTTGTTGATTTCGCCATGCAATAAACCAGATGTCCTCCCCCATTTGAAAATAACAATCACAATATTGATGAGATCTGAGAAGAAGGAGATGGGGGACTGTGTGAGCAGTTCAGCATTTTGAATGGGGGAAGACATCTACGTGCCAGAAGTCAACAAATCACCAAGTTTATCTGTCCATTTCATTAACGGACGTTTGCAATTAGTTAACTTTGGATAAAATTGCACCATTTTAAAAAGTTGAATGGTGAAATTGCACCACAAATAAGTTTAAGTTTAAGGTACTAGAAATATATGGAAAAATATGTTAATGTTGGGTGCACCTTTACCCAATTTTTAATCATCCCCCTATAGTTTTATTTTTACTTAAAGTGTATCCAACTATTTTGTGATGCATCCAGAAGTATTTTTTAGGTGTGTTCAGCATCCTAAAGTTTTTTTTTTAAGCCTTGATATTGGATGTACCAAAAAATATTTTTGGATACTAGATGCATCTAAAAAAATATTTTAGGGTAATGATGCACCAAAAAATACTTCAGGTGCTGTATGTACTTAAAAAAAATATTTCTAGAATCTAAATACACTACAAAATACTTTAAGATGCTAGATGCATTCAAGAAAATATTTTGGGATGCTGAATACATTTTAACCTTTTTTTCCCTTTTTGTTATGTTATGATAGTTTTATATGATTTTTTTTTATTAATTTCATGCAATTTCAACACTTTGAAACTCCATTTTTTGTATTATGCAAAATTCCATGAGAATCTTGCAAATCACACAATTTTTTAATAAATGTGTGCATATATTGATATAGTGCTGCATTGATGTTTATAGACACACACAGAGATGTGTTGTTTTTCTTAAATGAATTGATGCATTATAATACCATTTCACAATTTAAAGGTTTCAGTTGTGCGTGTACGTGGACGGTGGGGCTGATGATAGGACAGCCTGGAAAAAAATAGATAATTAGAAGAATAAGAAGAATGCAAAACATGGTATGTATATATTTTTGTGTGAATCAAAACATAGTATATTTTACAAGAAAAATCCCAAAAAAATACTTCTAAAATTTTAAAATTTCAAATCATGAATTACTATAAAAATATGTTATTAATTACTTTTCAGATATTATCAATTGTTATTAAAGTATAATAAATAAGACTGATTTAAAATTTTATAATTCAAAAGTTTTTTTTTTTTGGGATTCTCCCTATTTTATATGTGGTATGTGCGTATTTCTTTGATATTATTAAAAGTTGAATTAAAATAGTTGGATTTTCAAAATCATAGAAAGTCACTTAAATTTGTAAAATTTTAAATCAGTCGTAACAACTAAATTGCAATTTTGAAAAGTTAGTCAATTTACATTTTTTTCACAAAAACCTCAAGTTATCCTCACCGGCCACCAAAGCTCCTCTGGCGATGGCCAATGCCAAAGCTTTGATGGGCCACTAGCTAGCAACGGGCACTGAAACTCAAATTAATGCTATAAATTGATTGTCCACTCTCATAACAATATTCACAATTCTATTGATCTCATTAACCATTTTATATGATAGGTTTTTAAATTTGGAAAAAAAAATTAGTGAGTGCCTAACCTTATTAGAGAGAGATGAGTTTTTAAAATGCAATGCAGCAAATAACTTTTCAAATAAACAGCAAGGAAAAGAAAACAGGGGCTAAACAACTGCATTTTGAGAACTTGTTTTTTTTCCCCTATGACCTGTCATCCATATAAGATGCAACTAGGTGTCATCTAGTAAGTTCACATCGCTACTTTAACGCTATTCATGGCACTTCAATAAATTTTAACATAAACCTTCGAGAAATAACGTTTTAAAATAACTAAATTTCAAGAACTAAAATCACGAGTTTAAAATTTGATGGATTAAAATCAAAATAAGTCAAAATTTCAAGGATAACAAATTATAATAACTTTTTTTTAATTATACTTGAACATATAATTTTTCTAGGGCACTATGGTTTAATAAGCAATTTCTTTTAGTTTAACCACTCAACTAACTGAGTGTTATTTTGTTTAGAAAATCCATTGAAATGGTTTGACCTTTTTTTTCTTTTGGCCAACAGAAATGATTTGACTTAAATATAATACTCCTTCGGTTCTTAATATAAAACCCAACTAATTTGATTAGATTAAAGAAGTTAGGTAAGTTAGTTAATTATAAGAAATGTGATACGTTTTTCCTAAAATATCATAGTCATCTTTCTTAATATCTCCTCTTTCTTTTCTACTTGATTATGGTTGAGGGAGTATCTATAGGAGTAATTTAGAAAAAATTGATATATTTAGAACCAAAACCAACTCAATAATTGGGTCCTATATTAAGGACTGGAGGAGTAATACCTTTGGACCTAGTTTGTTTACATACTCTTTGGGTCTTTAATATAAGATCTAATTAAATAGTTAATGTTAGGTTTAAATATAAGATATATTTCATATAATTATCAACTTTTTCTCAGATCAACCGATTGATATTCCCCTAACAATAATCAAATATAAGAAGGAGGAAGGGAATTAAAAAGATGCTTATAGTATTCTAGAGAAAACCTATTATAATAACTAATTTAACTAATATTTTTAATCTATTTAAATTAATTAATTAGGCCTTATATTAAGAATTATAGAAGTATTTAGGACCCAAGGTAGTTCTTTGAAAAGTCGGCCCTTCCGCACATTTTTCTACAAAAGGCTGCTTTCGGTAAATCCAAAAGTAGATGCCCATGAATACCCATATCTAGCCTACGAACTATCTCCTTTAGGCCCACGAAAGCTTACGAACTCTTTGGGCTAACAAAAGGTTTTTTGGGTGAAAAGGAAAATATTACAAACATTTGTTTTAAAGTGTACAAAACGGACTGATCTCACAAAATGTTCTTTAGACCAAAAAAAAAAAAACTCACAAAATGCGCTCTTTTTTCCCGTACAAAATGCTAATGTGCTTTGGTATGCATATCAATAATAGTTAGTCTATTGTCAATAATAAGAGTTGGTTTAGTTAGTAAAAAATCAGCTCATAACCCGCAAGGTCGTGAGTTTAACTCCCGCTGTCGATGTGAAAATCTTGTTGGTGGGCGATCTGTAAGTACCTCTGTAAGCACTTTCTGAGTATGGAGGGATGTCCTGACCTTGGTGAGCTTTCAAGACCCAACTAACCTAAATTTTTTTGTATAAAAAAAACAATAGTTAGTCCATTTGATGAATCTCTCGGCTCAACTTATTTGAACTCTTTTGTTTAAGAAAA